GCCTTCGGGTCCTATTTGGTTGGCCATAGAAACATGTTAACCTCCTTACCGGTTTGTCCGGGAGCGACACAACTACGTCAATGTGGTTAACAGAATAACTTAACAGAGAAGCCATATCTGAATCCCTCCAAAACAACGCCAGTCCGCCATTGAGACCAACACGCTCCACACAAATAACACCTTCGAAACCTAGCTTTAACCGCACCTGTTCCACCTGACTCGTGACTGCTTTTGTTTCCATTAAGAAAACAAAACTGGGTCGCTGCTTGGAAACCATGCCCAAGAGCTCACGAACTGTCCGAGGGCCACCCAAGCCTCGGCAGTTCCAGCTTAAGACACTCATGGCGATGGGTGGGTCTGGCTCACAAGACCCACCGTAACCACGTTTTTTGGGATATCCACCATGTTGAAATCCACCGTCACACGTTGCTCCACAGACCCCTCCCCTTCTTGTCTGTGTTTATTATCACCATGCACAATCGCCAACTCATTAATGTGCTCAGGGTCAGTAGACGATGCCATGGGCGTAGCCGGAACACAACTAGCTTTAGCCGGGAGTTCCGCCAACAACCATTTGGCCCCAATTGGCTTGAGTTGTCTTCGAGCCCCAGCCCATAGCCAGTTGCCATAAGGATAATCCTAAGGCTCCACCGCTTCTTCATACACTCTGCGGCAAAACCATTCGGCATGCCCGATCAACCCACAGCAAAAATAAAACATACTCAAACGCTCGTACCTGAAAGAGACGCATTGCATTGAGTCGTCCCTGCGGCGAAGCTTCCGTCTCCTCTTTAAAGGATCGCTCACCTTCAGTGACACCTTGATGCGAAAGTAGCTCCGCAATGCGCCTCCAAAATTATTTGGGTCCGCATAGTTGCCGATCGTTTCCAGAAACATCGTGGACGCATACACTGCGGGGAGATCATGAATTTGTACCCAATAATCAACCCAATCTAACAACACCTCCTCTGGACGGACACCTTGTGGAATTGGTTTGCACACGAGTGTATGGTTCTCGAAAGAACATGGGTCGTCTTCGAGGACACGCTGCATGTCCTTGGAGTGCGGAAACTGGAAATCAAACAGATTTTCATCAACAGGGAAGACACACATGCCCATGACCGGATGCCACACCGAGGCCATGACCTGTTGCATTTGGTCGAATTTGATGGCGTAATCGGTGAGAAACTGCCCAACCAGTTCCCAGGTCGCGACGTCATTGTTAGCCGGGATGGGGGCCGGAGCCTCCAAGCCGCCTACCTCCTCTTCATCCTGCGATAGGAGTGAACAATGCCCTTCAAGGTTTGTGACCTCCATAGTCGAACACGCACGGATAAACTCTATTAGAGCCACCAGTGGGGTAGCAATCAACGGTAGCCGATGGAAAACATACGGCAACATAAACCAATCGGCGGCAATCGGACGGGAAATTCTGTGGAGATGCATGATCGTAGGCCAGGGAAATAAAAGCGGACAAAAACGGTTAAGCATAACTACCACCCCTAGACCCACTAGGGAGAAAGTCTCTCTAGACATGCCTCAGAGAGATTACCACGATTAATATTTTGATTGTTAAAAAAAAATAAAAAATAATTACACTATACAATGGTTATTGCACATTGCATAATATATAATTGCCCGTTTGATTTTTGTTTTCTCCCCAATACAGATTCAAAGACCTCTATAAAGAGCCCAACTAACTTAAGATGGATAAAGGAATAATCATTTTAAAAAAACAAGAAAAATAAAAAGAAAAAATGTTCTAAGTATTTAAGTGCAGCCAAAGGCCTTGTGGTCGAGCGGCATAGCTGTGACCCCTCAAATGAGAGGACCTTAAAAAAAAAGGTATTCGAGTGCAAGTGATTTGAAGTGCTATCCAACTTATTACCAGTAACGAAAGAAGATTTCAAGTTCTATCCATCTTATTACCAGTAACGAAAGAATAATTCCTAATTCTTAAGGCGTCAATGCTAGGATTTCAAGTGCGAAGTAGGAGGAAAGAGTAATTCCTAATTCCTAAGGCTTCAATGCCAGGATTTCAAGTGCGAATAAAGTAGGAGGAAAGAGTAGCAAGTATAGACTTGGGTAAACATATTTAAGACATGTTGTTGGCTTCTTGCAATTTCTTTTCCATGGAAGTCGGTCTTACTTATATATATATATATATATATATATATATATATATATATATATATATATATATATATATATATATATATATATATATATATATATATATATATATATATATATATATATATATATATATAGGCGAGTTCCGGTGCGGCGGTGTCTTACGGTGCGGCATCACCAATAGTTCAACAAATATACACCATCAACGTTAGGAAAATACACCGCAAAAAACAGAGGAAAATTAGGTACGCATCACCAAACACACACCATTAGGAGTAAAAACACCATACATTGTTCGGAAATACAGCATTGGGGGTGGTGAGATATATGGTGTATTTTTTTGGGTCTGTTGTGTATTTTTTGATGTTTTATTGCATTTCATTGTGGTGTGTTTTCCTTACATTGTTGGTGCATATTGTTAACACTGTTGGTGTATTCTGAAATTCCGTCGCACCGCCGCACGGGAAGACCCCGCCGCATTTGAACTTTCTTCTATATATATATATATATATATATATATATATATATATATATATATATATATATATATATATATATATATATATATATATATATATATATATATATATATATATAGAATTACATTCATGTAAAAACAGGGCTTAAAATAAAAACGTGTGGACATTTTTGGATCGTTGAATTCTGAGTATCAAAGGTTGTGATTAGTTTTTATGATTTTGTGTGCTGCCCGCCTGTGTGCAATGTCGTTCAATTCATGGACGTGTGAACTGTCGTTCATGGACGTGTGCACGTCGATCCAAATATAGTGGATTCACACATAAATACTATATTGGATGTGTGCAATGTCGTCCACGGATGTGTGCACACCCGCATTTAGGTGTGTGCATGGTATATGTCCACATGTTTGTATTTTAAGAGTTTTTGCATGTGAATGCAACCATATATATATATGGTTGAGTTCACATGAGAATATATAGAGGACTGTGCGGACAAATAATGGGCACACGATAAATTAGTATCATGCACATAGTTTAATACACAATGGCACACTAGCATACATGTAAACATCAGGTTTCGAACACATTCTTTATTAATTAATAAACCTATGCACACGACATACAAACTATGACACACGACTACATTAGGTCATGCACACAAGGCACACGACTACACCTGTCAACCCTATGCACACGACATACAAACTATGGCACACGACTACATTAGGACATGCACACAACATACAGACTAAGGGCACATGACTACACATGTCGGCACAGTCTTCTATAATATACTTGTCCTACATATATATATATATATATATATATATATATATATATATATATATATATATATATATATATATATATATATATATATATATATATATATATATATACATGGAAAGGTTCAGGTGCGGGTATAGCTTCCCGTCCGGTTGTACTGTGAGGTTGACACACCTTTAGCATTAAAATGGCGCACCTTAAGTAGTACACAAACCACACACTTTAAGCACACAAACAAAGAACCTTATGAACACAAACCACGCATCATAAGTACACAAACCACACACCTTAAGCACACAACAAAGCACCTGAAGAAAATAAACCACGCACCTAAGGGTTTAAAATGACTCACCTTAAGTTTCACACAATTGACGCACCTGAAGCATACAAATCACGCACCTTAAGAAGGAAAACCATGCACCTTAAGTTTCAACAACTACTCATATTAAGCACAAACCCCACGTACCTTAAGTACAAAACCCACGCACCATAACCACAAAACCCACGCACCTTAAGTTTCCACAACTACTCACATTAATCACACAACCCACACACCTTAAGCACAAAAACCACGCATTGCACCTTAAGAAGGAAAACCACACACTTTAAATTTGACCTAGATGCAAAAATTACCAAATTTGCACCGCATTTTTTTTCAATTTTGGTAATCTTGGACGTTGATTTAAGCAAAATCAATGGGTCATATTTAACCGCACGGGAACTGAATTATATATATATATATATATATATATATATATATATATATATATATATATATATATATATATATATATATATATATATATATATATATATATATATATATATATATATATTGGATCATATGATAACAAGTCAGTAGGAGAAAACTAAGAACTAATCACAACCTTACATTTGGAAAAATTAGACGCACCAAATCAGATTTAAAACAAAAAACGCGATGACAGTGTCTTTATTATCACCAACTTTACTATGCAAACGGGAACACTAAAATCTATAGTTTTTAGACTTTTTTCAGATTTTCACTTTTAGTATTAACATTTTGCACATTTAGTGTTAACATTTTGCATATTTAGTATTACAAGTTTGCACTTGTAAAAATGTGAAAGTACATTGCAATTAGGGTTTCAATTTTAGAGTTTTATGACTGAATTTTTTATTTTATTTGTTCTAGTTGTTCACTTTTTACTGGTTAAGGTCTAACTTTCACGGTTTAGATTTAAAATATAGAATTTTTGTAGATTTTATATAATTTATCAAGTTTGCATATTTAGTAGTTAAAAATTGCATATTTAAGTGTTAAAGTTTGCACATTGGAGTTGATGATAATTACGAAACTATCACTGCATTTTTTTAAAAATCTGATCAGATCCGTCGAATTTTTACAAATGTAAAGCTAAGATTGGTTCTTATTTTTCTCCTATGAAAGTGTTCTCATAGGATCCACACCTAGGTACCAAAGAATGCACGGATTGAGCCCCCTTTATTGGGGGGGGGGGGGGGGGGGAGTGAGGAGGGAAAATTATATCGTGCACCAAGACGGACAATGCATTGTGCGCCCTGGCCAAAGCGACATCTTTTTCAGTTTTTGCCGTTAACTTCTAAAAAAAAATCTTTGTTTCGGATGTACAGAATTGTATAGTAGAATACACATAAACTCCTAATATAATACATATAATCTAACATAATACATAATACACATAAACTTTTAACGTAATACACAAAAACTCTTAACAGAATACACATAAACACAAGTATTTAAAAAAAAAAAAAAACTGTAATGAGATTGAACGGACGAAACGGTATTTGTCATGTTAACTTATAAAAATGATGTCCTTTTGAGCCAATGTGCGCCCTAGTGCACGATATAACGATTGAGTGAGGAGCGGAAGAAGGAGGGAAATAGGGACACATGTTAAATTTTATAGGTTAGTCTTGAATCAATCCATGGGAAAACAAGATAGAACAAATAGATTTTTGACCCGCAAAGAAATAGATTTTGCAGGCTGCGAGTTGATTTGCGGGCTAACATAACTATTTTATCATTTTTAAAAGCAAAGCTGAACAAAAAGCTTACTAGCATGTGCATATTGGCAAATTATTGTATGGACCATGGTTCACACAATTGTGTGGACCATAAATATCAGATACAATTTTGTGAACCATGGTTCACACAATTGCCAACAGACATTGCAGGCTACGAGTTGATTTGCAGGCTGATATAACTATTTTATTTTTAAAAGCAAAGCTGAACAAAAAGCTTACGAGCATGTGCATATCGGCAAATTATTATATGGACCATGGTCCTTGTGGTCTAATGGCACCCGGGTTGGACTCCCATATGGGAGGTTGTGAGTTTGAGCCTCGGTGGAGGCGTTATTGGCTCTTTGTGCTTCAGTAGGTTGAGAAAGTAGTTATGAACATATACTACATTGTAATAGAGTCAGTAGCATTCAAAAAAACAAAAAAGTGCATTATTTTTGTACTGAAGGTACATTATTTTTGTACTGACGATACATTATATAAAATAATGTACCCTTAGTATATTAAAAATGTATTTTCAAAAAAAATTTACCTTATGTACATAAATAATGTACCCTTAGTATGTTAAAAATGTACTTTTTATTTATGGTCCACACAATTGTATGGACCATGGTTGTAACACCCTACTTTTCTTAAACTTGAATTGCAAAACTTAACTTAAAAAGGATACTAAACAGTGATAAGATAATATTAATTGAGAACTTAGAGTTCAAACCATAAGAGGTGTCACCGCCACAATCACCACACACGGTGATTGCACATGCTAGGATAAGCACTATCAAGTGTCAAGCTCATCAGTTTACAAAACATCTAAACAACTGAGTTTTAAACATCCATCAATAAAACAGAGTCTAGACTAACATCTAGAAACTCTAAGCTACGCGCTAATCTATCTCGATCGCGCTCAAACACTGGGCCCACCAGAAAGAGGTTAACAAACAAGCAGATAGAAAACAACCCGTTAGCACGAATGCTAAGTATAACGCCACTCAACCCTGTAAAGTACTATAGATATACTTTTGGAAAACATTTGGCATTCACAGTTGAATCAAATACTTCCAATTACTTAAACAATAACTCAAATCATACTCAATAATAATCTAGTTGCTTGCAACCAAAATAACAAATAGGCATGCTTTCTTAAGTGCTCAGCTTAACATAAATCTCATGCTTAAACAAATATTTCAAATCATAGCTCAATACTCAAACTTATGCTCAAATTGGTAGATAAAGAGATACTAAGTAACTCAACAAGCAATCTTATGCAAATGACAGATAGCCAACTATACTCAATTAAGCTTTACTCACAGTCACACTGATAGATAAGAAATAACTGATACTTAACAAATAAGCTCATGCTTTCATGCCAACTCTTAAACAACAATAAAGCTTCACTTCTCAAAACGTGCTAAAAGCAACTAATGCTAATTCATAATCAACAACAAAGTTCTATACATTTCATCATTCTTTAATGCTCAACATGCAAAACATGTAAATCATGCAGCAAAATAGTCATGATGCTTTATATTTACACACACACACACACACACACACACACACACACACACACACACATATATATATATATATACTCTAGCTCTTAAGTAAAAAGAAATACTTTTTCTGTGGAAGTTTCTGTTGAGTCACATTGACTCGCTTTCTCTTATTTTTCTTGAGTCTCTTGACTCACTTTTCTCTTCTTTCACTTTCTTTCTTTCTTACTTTATATTGAGTCACATTGACTCGCTTTTCTCTTCTTTCTTTGCTTCTTTCTTACTTTCTTTTGAGTCACATTGACTCGTTTTTCTCTTCTTGTGTGCGGCAGGTACTCCGTCGTAGCGAAGTCCTAGCGTACGGTGCAATCTCGTGCATCCGTCACATCCGTATCAACGGAACCTCTAACTCCTGGGGGAGGTAGGACCTTCACGACTTGTGAATGGACCTATACAGGCTTGGCATTCTAGCCGGCTTAAAGCTCAACTCGCCCATAGAACCACACTCTTGGTTCTTAATCTTTCTTTCTTTCTTTCTCTATGGAATCAAGTATCGTACTTTTAGTGTGCACACCCTCTAACCGGGATTCCAAGCCCAGCGGGTAGTATCCAACCTAGTAACTCGGGAATATCGACCTCGTTACTTCTAAATATCTATCGGCTTGCAATGCCCGTTTTTTTTTTCTCAAACTTTCTTGCTTTCTCTTTTCTTCCGAAATGACATAGTCCTAACGGTACTCCAAAATACTATTTTCCTCACAATAGATAGATTAACATATATATATATCTTATGCCCCTTCTTTCTCATGCAATTTCTTTTCTTATGCAACAAATTTCACTTATGCAAGCTCATGCATATAATTCTTAGCAACTTTTCTTTCTCATAATTTGGAAATCAAATATCATGCAATCTTCTCAATGCAATTAGATAATGATTTTCCAGAATAGATATAGAATTTTGAAAGAAAAATTAGGCTTACTTAGAGCCAATGATGCACTTTAGATCATGAAATGTTAACATGCTCTTTTACTGTAAAGAAATTCTCAATTTCTCCTTTACTGTGAACTAAGGAAACAAAGTGCTACTTCTTGCTTAACACTTAATACTTAACAAATCTTCTTAGCAAATATTTAGTAAGTATTGATCATGCTCTTTAAACTCAAAATATACTTCATACTCTAGCAAATTCCATTTACTATAAACTAAGAATCCATGCACTGGACATATCAAATTCTCACATTCTTGGCAAAGCTTTTCAATAAATCACGATAAGTACTTAGACATGCTTTTCAATCAAAATTATCAAATAATGATCATGCTTCTCATTCAAAATGCTAAGCTCAAACACTTCTATTTTTCTTCACTGTAAACAATTTATAGAACACTTCAAGAACAAATCCCAACACAAATTCCACCATAAATCAAGCATTTCAACTCCAAAATCAACGAAACAAGCTTCTATTAGTGCGTCGTAACGAACCCGAGTGTCTGAGCCTCAAGGGCCCATGAGTCCCGGTCCGATCGACACGTAGCTGAGCCACAGAGGGCCCGGCTAGACATCTTTTTGGCCTGGTGGAGCTTGGTGGCGGGGCTTGAGGAGCCCCGCCAAGCGGCGGCCTTGGGCAACGGTTCTAGCTGAGAACCGTGCCCAAGGGCCGGCTTTCCACGGGACTAGCCGGCGGTCCTTGCCTAGGACTGTTGGCTTGTTCCATGACACAACCTGGTGCGCAGATAGTGTGCACCATAGGTTTCCTTCTTCACCTGAACACAACTCAAAGATACAAAACACATCTCCAAACCTCAATAAATCACTTATAGATCAACAATAACTCAATAGCTCAACAACAACAATAATCTAGAATTTCTAAGCATTTACACCATCAAACTAAACTTCACATAGTCAAATAAAACTAAATGGGAGTCCATGGGTTATACCTCTTCTTGTTCTTCCTCCTTGTGTGGATCTCAGCCTCCACTCTACTCAAACACCAGTCCATTCACCACCTAGACACCTCAAACAACAAGCCAAGCCAAGCCAGAGATTGAAAGCTAAGAGAAAAGGAAACCTTAGGATAGAAAATGAATGAAGCAGATGAATGCTAAAACTTACTTTGTTTGCTTCTTTCTTTCAATAGAGTTCAAGATTGGAGAGGCAAGGGAAGAGATTAGGAAATGGCAATGCAAAAGTGATGTTTATATAGGGTCAAAAATCCTAGGAGAAATGCCCATGATTGGTGGATGGCAAAAGGGTAATTTGTGCTTGGTTTCTAACACATCAGACAAGTGTAGTAGAGTGCTTGTGGTCCACCTTGCAACATGGACCATAGCCTAGAAAAGTGATCTTAAATAGTTTGGGGTCAAAATAAAATTTTCTAGAAATAGTTTCTAGTTAAAACACTTGGTTCAGGTTTCACGGGTTCCTTTCCGGTTTCACTCAGATTGACTTTTCGGGTCAAAACCTGGTACATAAATGTACTCGAAACTTAGGATTTTTGAAATAGAATATTCTCGGTGTTGAATTTATTTAAAAACTCAATTTAAAATATTTAATCCAAACACCATTTTCGAAATAAAATTTTTGAAAGAGTGAAAATGGCTATTTTGAAATTTATAAAATGGAATTTAGAAAAATTATATTTGGGTTGTCACAATGGTCCATGCAATAATGATTGGTTCATATCATCATATATCAATACTTAGCAACATTTCTCCTGAAAATATTTTAACAACATTTTTCCTTTTTTTTTTTTTCTTTTGTATAAAATATATTGTAACACTAATAATGAATAAAGTGTCTATTATTTATATGGGAAAGTAAAATATTTATGAAGAAAAATGTAATACTTTTACATTGTGACTTAAAAGTATTAAATTTTTCCTCATAAGTATTACATTTTCTCTAAGTAACAAACACTTGTCAATATTACTTAATGCTTCTTAGATCCGGAAGTTCTCGCGAAGAGAATAAGATGTTGCTCCCCTATCCTTTGTCTTTTCCCGCTTTGCTAATCTTTCCTCTAATGCGGGCCGGGCGGCGACGAGCGTGGGAGGAAGTCAGGAAGAAACCTAAGAGAAGATGCTCTTCGCTTAGGTTCTTTTTTTTTCAGTGCAACAATTAAAGTGACTGTGCCCTCTTTTTGTCATCCCAGCAGCTTTCCAGATTTTGTATTGAACTAACGCATGGCGTAGTTAGGACCCTTCGAATCATGTGTTGAGCCTATATATGTGAAAACCAAAACCCATCCCCTATTTTACGAAGGCGGGAAGGAATGCCCACCAAGTTCAGATAAAGGAAAGACCCGACGAAGGCAGGGAGATGCAGTGGGGGAAGGAAAACGCTTTCAGAGATCGTCACAAGGACGGAGCGCTCCGTTATGGGGTTGGGCCCCCTTACCCCCACCCCTACCCTCACCCTAAATTTTTTAGTAAATATGTATGTATATATTGATATAGTAGAGATAAAATACACTTTTGGCCCCCCTCTATTTTTTTTTTAAATAAAACAATCTATTATGTTTATATTAAATGAACTCAAAATATATATTAAACTTCACTATTTTTCATTAAATAAAAAGAAATAAATCGAATAATTAAAGTCACCATTTTTCTTTATTATCTTATTTCTTTTATCAAGATTTTAATAATTAAGGATATCAAGTATACATTTTAATTTTAAAAAATCTCCAAATTAGAGATATATGCTTTAGTTTTATTAGTTATGTTGGATGTTGATTAATTAATTAGTGATTTATTGTGTGTTTTAATTATTTATTTACATTTTTAAGATACATTTGCTAGTTTAAAACTTTAAATGATTAGTTTTGAAATTGATAAAAATTAATATTGATTATTTAATTCGTCTTGGTTTTTGTCTTTTATCTCTCAAATTTTGAAATATTCAGTTAATTAGTAAAATGAATATCAGTTAATTATGAAAAAAATTGGTGAATAAAAAAAATTGACAAAACTTTTTATTTGATGTTAAGTGACTATATATTTAAATAAATGTTGTTTCTATTGTTATTATTATATTTTTGTGTTATGTGAAAAATTGATAAAGTAATGATCGACACACATGTCGATCGTACTCATATAATTATGTATTTCATAATTTATTACACATAGTATAATTAGAAACTATTATCAATAATAATCACAATAATGTATGGCACTACTGGAAATTATGGAATTTCCGACCACCTGGAAGTGATTTTAAATCATGTCGAAAGTCTTGTTCCGACCACTTTTGGTATCCGGAAAAACCTTTGTTGCTATTTCCGACCACTTTTTGCTTTCAACTTGATTTAAGATCACTTTCAGGTGGTCGGAAATTTCATAATTTCCCGTAGTGGTATATATAATAATAATATGGTACGATTAAATATAATGTTGGCTAATATTGTAAATTTTCTGTACTACATCGCCCCCCCCCCCCCCCCCCCTCTCCTCCACCCAACTCAAGTTTTCTGGCTCCGTCCCTGGAGATCGAGATTTGTTTTTCATCGAAAACAAAGAAAGCCAAAGATGGCCTATAAGGAAAAATGTAAAAGTATTACATTTTTCTTTAAAAATGTTACATTTTTTCTAAGTAACAAACATTGTATTCCTAGCTTATTAGTATTACATTTTTTAGTATAAGCATTACAATTCCATATACACTCGACCCAACTCAGAGATGATAAATCCTAATATAAACTCAAAGGACATCGACCTTAACAAGAACAACAAAAAAAAAAAAAAAAAAAACTATATTATTGTGTTGTCATTTTTGTTATTGTTATCATCGTCATTCAAAGGGAATTGCTTAATATGGGGTTTTATCACATAATTTTAAGTAAAGCGACCAAGTTATTATGCCTCGAGTGATGGAGTATCACGTACAACCATCCATGCTTTTATCTACAAAAATGTGGTTCTAGCTAAAACTTTATTTATCCCTGGCAAATCTTGATTTAAGAAGGAGCAAGCCCCACTGAACAAATGCTAGCTTTATATGGCCATAAATGCAACTGTTTTCTGACTTGCTAAAGTGCTTTGCTTCGTGGCTGCTGACGATGTTGGAAAAATAAATGGTGTCTTCCATAATTCTATAAATTTGTACGCAGTGCTCAACTTTGTTCTTGTTCGCCCGAACTTTTATTACAAGCATCAACAATATAAATCACAATTGCAACACAAGTATAAAACCCAAAAAATAATATATTAAGAATATAAGCACTAGGCACATACATTTATAAACACTTTACCCAAGAATCACTAAGAAAACTTAGCCACACATGACTAATAAAAAATTCATTGCAATAATAAAGAGTTTACAAGGAATCAAAGAAAGTAAAAGAATAAACCAAGTGATTCTCCCAAATCTCCCTAGCTTGTCTTCTTCATTCCCAAGGCAATTTGTAGCTCTTGGTTCTCTTTCTTCTTGTCTCCAAGACATAGCATAGACTTCTAGGGTTGAGGAAGGCGGGATTTTATAGCGGGAACCAAGCGAAGGACAAAAAGGGAAATTTTTGCGCGAAACTAGACCTGGCCCATCTTGATTGTTCAATGCGTCGAAACGAGGCGTCGTTTTCTCGGATTGCATGTTGTGACTTCTCGACGCGTTGAGTCAAGGCGCCAAGAATCCCAAATGCTACTGGAAATTCTAGACGTGTCGAAATGTGCTGCTCTCGAACGGATTCGATTTTGGAAATTTTGGACGCGTAGAGCCATTGACTTGACGCGTCGAATCTTCTGTGTACGCACCTTTCGGTCCACTTTGGCTCCAAACTTTTCCTGGAACTTCCCTTGCTTTTGCAATTGACCTACAATGGTTCCAAAACGCTAACAAACACCGTAAAACATTCAAAACAAGTGTAAAACCATATCTAAGTGAGAAAACAAGGGAATATGCAATTAAAGTATCAATTTAATGAACTAGAAATAGATTCACACTAACACTAGAAACATGTACAATTAAACTCACATCATTGATCAATCTTGATCGCCGCTTGAGTCTAGTGTTCTTGATCATGGCCTTGAAGCCTTAGGAATTTTTCTATCTTTATACGTCAGCTAGATAGCACCTCAAATCTCTTGCACTGAATACTTAAAACATTTTATAAAATATTATGACCAGCCCTTTATCCATCTTGAGTTGTGTTAGTGTAAATAAATGTTTAATATATTGTATGGCTTAGATTAGCTGAACTATTCCTTAGCCTATTGTATAGGGACTTATATTGCTACTATTATTGTACTAGGATTCAGTTATTCAATTCAATCAATACTTTCCAATCTCATCTCGTATCAGATAAGCCAGGTTTATCCCTTTTTCTCTCTCTCTCTCCTTGAACCATTCACCCCAACCAACCATGTTGAACGATTCATCGGAGAGAACACCGACGGCAACCACCGTCTCCTCCCTAAACACCAATCCAAATTCCTTGAACTCAGCCCACCATTTCGTTTCCATTAAATTAACCAACCGCAATTATCTCTTCTTGAGAACCCAGATCATCCCCTTCCTCCGTGGCCAAGGGTTGTTGGGCTACGTTGATGGTGGTCGTCCCTGTCCATCGCCAACCTTGGAGGTTTCTGCCACTGATAACTCCGATGAAGCCAGCTCCTCCGTGATCAATTCGGCCTACGGTGTGTGGGTGCAGCAAGACGCCTCCATCCTCTCTCTTCTCATCTCTTCCATGTCGGAGGAGGTGATGTATTTGGCTATTAGGAATATAGCGGAATAATGCGGAAGCGAACAATCGAAAATTGAGAATTATAAGAAGTTAAATAATAGTAGGGAAAATAAAATGACAAACTAATAAACAAATATATATATATATATATATATATATATATATATATATATATATATATATATATATATATATATATATATATATATATATATATATATTGGATCCAATGAGACTCATATTTTGATGAGACGGTAAGATGTAATCTGGTTCGTTTATTTTTATTTTTTAACGGTTTTGATCTTTTGGTTTTGGATCCCATGTGCTGATGGTTTGTAAAGGAGTTAGGGTCATTGTGGTCTTTTGCTTGTGTTATTAATTCTGATCCCTTAATTATAGCGCGTGTGTGTAGTAGAGGCAGCGTTATTTTTGGTATCAAATAAACTTCAAGTTTTAGAATTCGAACCAGTGTCTCTTCACATCACCCCTATCGATTCACTTCCCCCTCTGTCAATTTTCTCCACCGGCGCTCTTCACGCTGACATCGAATTTCACAGTTGCTCACGATTCTACGACTCAAAGATCCAAACGTTAAAAGTAATCTGTCACCGTCCATGTGGAAGGTATGATTCTTCTCGGTTTTTTCTTTTTCTCGTTATTGGTTGTGTTTTTTGGTTAATTTTTTGTGTGTTTGGGTTTATTACTGTTTTTTTTTCCTTTTTTATTTTGGGTTATGAGTGGCGGCGTGGGGGAGGGGGGATGGGGTTCTGGTTTGATTTTGCAGCAGAGGAGGGGGTGTGTGGTGTGTAGGTTTGTTAGTTAGAGTTTTAATAGGGTTTTCTTTGTTTTTAGTGGAGGTGGGGGTTTGATCGTGTATCAGAGAGTGCTTTTTCATGCTCTTAATACCAGCATATGCATCTCCACTTAGATGATGTGCTTTCTCCCTTAAAGTCTTTGGCCTTTGCAGTATGTGCGTTCATTGTGCGACGTTTGTGCGTAATACTTTGATTACTAATTGGTTTGTGTGTTCTACATTTTCAGCTTGTGTGTAACATTGTAATTAGTAATTCGTTCAAGCGTTCTACGTTTTAGGCTTGAGCGTTAAGTCTCTAAACAAATCACAAGTGTTAATAAAATGGGTGATTAGATAATTGTATTTA